GGGAAAACCGGGACTGGTGGTGTCGAAAGGGGTACAGGGGAGAGCGCTGCCCGGGCTTGGGCCCACTCTCAGCAGTATGTCCAGTGTATGCTAGTTAGGGACGCTGTGATGTCATACCCTTCCTCTGCCAGCGTGCTGTGGGCCCCGGCAGTCCCCTGGGGTGACGTCCCCTCGTCTGTGCACCTCGCCCTGGGGTGACGTCCCCTTGACCGTGCACCTCGGTGGATAGCGGGAAGCGCAGAACGCCTCTGACGCTGTGAAAATAAGTTTCCCTGGCAAAAGTCTGGTTCGTTGTATTCTTTGTCAGGGGTGTTTGGCTCTTACGCTGCGTGCCTGACATCACAGGGTACAACCAGCTAATCGCGTCCTTGTAGTTTAGACCAAAGTTCTTGGGGAGGGGAAAAGCATATGAGAATGATCGGGTATGATCCTCCGTGTTGAGGATATTCCGTACTCAGGTTTAATCTCTTCTCCAGATGAATAAGCTTTTTTTTGGGGGGGACCCTGTCTCTTCCATGACGTTTGTAACTTGGACTGGAGGTTTTGATGCTTGGCAGGCTTGAAATGAGACACTTGACAGTTGGGTTGTTTTTTTTCCTTGTTGCAAACACAGATGCTTCTATGTGCAGTTTTCAGAATGACTCTAGAAATTTTAAGAGCCAAATTAAATATCTGCTGAGAACTGAAAAGCGGCTTGGCTTATTCTGCTGAAAAGCTTTGTCGTTGTTGGTCTGAAGAAATTGTTTATCATAAACATTGACAACGCTCTTGTCAATACTCTAATCTTTAAACTCCCTTGGAAAAAAAGTCATTATTTTAAGTTTTCTAAGCTGTGTGTGTTGGCATTGCTCTACTGTATTTTGATTTATTCGTTTTAAATTGAACTCTAAAATGTTAGATGACACAATTTTTGCCTAAATCCGTAAGCAACAAATTCTCTGGAACTAAAAATGTTATTCTTGCCATCTAAACTGTGATCTTGTTCCTGAATCACAGTTGTTTAGCTGTAGAGACACTTCTCTTGTTGTAATTGTTATTCTGCCCGGGCAATGTGAATGCCGTTAAATATGCATATAAGGAGACTTGTGATCTTAGATCTTAACAAGAACATAACTCTTCAGTACCACTTCACAGAAATCATACTACTATAAAACCCCAAGAAATAAAAAGTTCTCTTAACTTGCAGCTTTCACTTTTTGTTAATATCTGAATTTTTTTAATCAGTGCACATAATTTCTTTTGAATTACTCTAAGGTTTGACTTACGGTTAATTTTGGAAGGTTAATTGGAATATTTCTGAGCTTCAAAATGCTGTTGTAGAATAACATACAGGTTTGTGAGCACGTGGGAAATTGGGAAGGGAAGGCTGGGTTTTGCAGGCTCACCCTGCGTGCCTTATCGGGATGAGTACTGAGTGATTCTGCCACGTAAGCATCAAAAATATTCTTTTAATAGTATGTTGGCAGGGTGTCCTCTGATTGCCTCTCCAGTTTGTAACGTTAGGAAAGAGACTGGAAAAGCAGAGTTCAGCCCAACTCTTCAGGAACCGGATTTAAATATCAAGCTGCTTGTCCTGGTTTTGGCTGGGATACAGTTAATATTCTTCCTAGCAGTGGGTATAGTGCTGTGGTTTGGATTTAGGGTGAGAATAACGTTGATAACACACTGATATTTTGGTTGTCGCTAGGCAATGTTTAGACCAAGTCAAAGACTTTTCGGCTTCTCATCCTACCCCGCCAGCGAGGGGCTGGGGTTGCACAAGGAGCTGGGAAGGGACAAGGCCGGGACAGCTGACCCCAATGACCAAAGGGATATTCCATACCATATGATGTCATGCTCCGTATATAACTGGGGAGAAGCTGGCCGGGGGTTTAGACCGCAGCTCAGGAACTAGCTCGGTGGTCTGCGGGTGGTGAGCAGTTGTGCTGTGCATCACTTGTTTTGTGCATTATTTATTTTCCTTTTCTGCTATATTAAACTGTCTTTATCTCAACCCATGAGTTTTACCTTTCTTCCTCCCCCCGCGCCCCCGGTGCTCTCCTTCATCCCCATCCCACGGGGGGGAGTGAACAAATGGCTGTGCAGTTGTTTCAGCTGCCGGCTGGGTTAAACCACAACACTCTCATATTAAACAATGTCCCAAAATACTTTTTGTTGTCCTGGAAGGTGTCTGCGTCCTCTTAGCAAGGAACAGGGATGGAAGTCTAGCACCATGTTACAGGTTTCTTCTGAAGCGTGTGAAGCCGGCTCTTGGGTGTTCCCTCGAGGTTTGGCATTTGGGTGGTGTATAAATTGCTTTGCATAAATATATTTTCAGCCACTGTGTGTATGTGTGTTACAGTAAGGCTGCAGCCTCTTTTGTTGTGCTTTTGGTTGAATGACCTTGTAAAAACTCATCCTGTGCTGCTTTTGTTTTTCTGTTTGCTGAAGACAGGAACAAGTCATCACCATGCCAGCGTTGCCTCTGGATGAACTCCAGCTGACAGAAAGGGATCCCAAGACAGGGAAGCTGAGAACTTTACCGGCACTGGTGAGCTGTGTTTTTCCTGAAAGCCAAACAAGACCCATAACAAAGAATTGTCCTACTCGGGTCTGGGCAAAACTAGCCCTTGGTCCAGGATATGATGAAATGTGGTCAGCTTGCCTGTTAAAGAAATTGTTTTCTTCGTGTTTTAGTGCATTCAGATTGTCAAGAATTTTAGTTCAATGATGGCTAAATGAAAACTTACTGTGTACAACATCTGTAGTAAACTGTGTTCTCCTGGAACTCCTTATTCTTTTGAGGAACAGCCCAATTAGCAATTTAAACTTTGCTGCAATAGAGAAAATGGTTTGGGAGCTTCTGCAAACTCTGCGTGAGGTTTAGCTCTGGGATAAGTCTGTCCACTTACTGCATCCCATGACCTCCTGCCCTGTGGCTTCAGCTTGGTGAAATCAGAAAATGAAATCCACAGTTATGCTTTTCTCCCAGAAATAAGAAGGCATGGAAAGAGCCTTCTCCTGGGCATGTTGCAGAAGCGGGACCTGCTGTTAGGCTATTTGCTAGTGAGGAGGTTTGCCCTGGGTTGAGGCAGAGCTCGAAGCTGCTGCTTGCTCCTCGACATCGTTCTTGTTCTAGGATGGGACTATTTGGGCAAAGCCTGTTCAGTAACTTTGGGAAGGGTAGTGAAATGTTTCTTCTCTACTTGGTGGTCATGTCAGTTTGACTTCATGGAATGTTGCGCAAGAACCAGTTTGGAGGAAGAAGAGAGAGTACAGGCCACATTTCAGAGGCGTGACGTTAAGCTGTTGCGGTTTGTTTTGAAGGTGTGGGAGGATTGCTTTGCAAGGCTTTTGGTTAATAGAATGCAAGGAGCAACATCTACTAAATTGTGAAGGCCTGAAAACCTTGTTAAATAAGGATACAAACCCACTGATCTGCCTTGTAAGATTAGAAAATGGGGATGCACCAGGGAACTGAATGTCAAATGGTATTAAAGTGTAATTTTATGTTGGCTTCCTAAAATTCACTGAGCAGCGCAAAT